CTTGACTCGCACGAGCACTGCCGGACGCATTTATGCATCACGGCTAGGAGGCTGGTGCATAGGCTACACAGGCTGGGACCATCGAGCACTCGGGCGTGCTGCCGGGCATCGCCAAGGCTCGCTGGGCATCGCTAGTACGCTGTTAGGCGTACTGGCATGCGTGGTTGTTCGGCCAGCGTGCGTGGGACGCTGCTGGCACGCGTACGGCGTCGCTGGGCACGTCACAAGGCGAGTGCTGCGTCGTTGCGTACGCGGTAGGACTGGGTGTGCGCTGCCGTGCGTGTTGGCGTGCACTGTGCACGTCCATACACGTGACTACGGCATCGCAAGGGTTGGCTGTCGAGTACTGGGCACGCGTGCGCGTTACTGGGCACGCGGACGCTGCCTGCGCACTCACTGGGCCTGCCGGGCGCGCCTACGCGCACGCTGTGCGCGGTAGGCATCACGGTCGGCATTTCGCCGGCCGTCCGGCTACTCTTTCCGGCAATCCGTACATGGCTGATTATATTTTGACTTAAAATGACGGAAAATACATAGATTACTCGGGACTTGCCGGTTCTATTTTGAAATCACTCGGAGGGAGCTTATATAGCACCTCCGAGGCAATTTTCGTACAAAACTTAAATCGAACGACACGATTTAGACATGATCTTCTTATAATGAGCTGAAATACATAAAGAGCGAGTAAATAGGGGTATACCCTTCAGTTCGGTCGAGGATTGTACGATGGTTGCGTGCGTGTTTGGTGCTAAACGCGGGCGCCTTAGCTTCCCTTATGCTTCGATCCTTCTTAGCTATATTTGTAGGATTTTTCTCTATTATTTTTCTCACTATTTTCTCTCAATTATACGCTGAAGTTGGGCTCGATTCCTTACGTGATTTTTTGTATGAAACTCACGGCTTTTTCTTAAATTAAATAGTAAGAATGGATGAAGGTAAAATTGGGGCCAAACCCTCATTGGGACACTTGCCTTTGCCGTGTGAGTGTGTGGCACTTTACTTGCTTGGTCATCGGCTAGATGGCATTCAACCAAGGGGTTTAGTCATCACCTCATGCTTAGTCATCCTAAGGATGGCCCAACTCATGCCATGTATGCTAAGAAAGTAGGAGAATCATCACTTCAACTTGCACCCAAATTTATCCTTTTGTAAAACACTCACGGCAATTACTAAGGAGATGATGCGGGATTGCTTAGCCTTGATCCTAATATTTAGCTTAATATAAGCTAATGATGGCGGTGACTTAGTGATGTGCGCGCGCTATGCGCACGACCGTGTGTACCGCACACTAATGCGCGCGCACCCGCGTGCATGACAATACACGACGCGCATGCGTACGTGTTATGGAGTATATCTCTGAAACTTAAACATGAATTCGATCTTAACTTTAAATCCAAACATTTCTTAATAATTAATCCCGATTGATAGTATCTGTTTATAAAATAAACGGTTCGGAAATTAATTATCAAATTTTGACTCGGTTAATAATTAACCGAATAAACTTTTCGACTTAACGTCGAACTTATTTGCTGAAAATGAACGGAATCAGTAAAAGATAATACATCATTTCATTAATAAGAAGTCGGGTTATTACAATCTACCCCCCTTAAAATATTTCTGTCCTCGGAAATATAAAACAAAACATACATTTGTACATGAAAGATATATACATCAAAACCGAAAATCGGGAAAACGAGCGCGAATGTCAGCCTCTTGCTCCCAAGTGCCTCTGTGACGATACCACTGTATACGAACGAGGGGAAAATCATGCTTCCGGAGTCGTCGAACCTGTCGGTCCAACACAGCTACCGGTCGCTCCTCGTAAGACAAGTCTGGATGAATCTCAATATCAGTATGAGGAATGACATGGTCGGGGTCGCACACGTATTTACGTAACATAGACACATGAAAGACATTATGAATACCGGACAACTCGGGAGGCAAGGCTAGACGATACGCAACATCGCCCACTCGCTCGAGTACTTCGAACGGGCCAATAAACCGAGGGTGTAACTTCCCTCTCTTCCCGAATCGAATAACTCCGCGAATAGGACTAACTCTGAGAAAAGCATGCTCGCCAACCTCGAACTGGATGTCTCGTCGATGATGATCGGCGGTTGATTTCATTCTGCTCTGAGCTGTTCTGGGTCTCTGCCAGATCAACTCGACTTGCTCTGCTGTCTCCTCGATCAGCTTCGCCGAGTACTCGACGTTCACCGACGTCGTCCCAATAAAGAGGGGAATGACATTTACGACCATATAGT